CTTTGTTCATAATGATCGGGTTATCCCTAAGAATATCACATTTAACATTCTTCCGGGAACTTCCCGTTACATGAATTACCCACCCCTAGTTTTCTTTGCAAAACTGGGTGTAACGAGGAGTACGTTATCCTTAGTCGCATACTCGGGTTATCCTTAAGAATATAAGATTCTCCAGGAACTTCACGTTTACATAAATCATCCACCCTCAGCTTTCTTTGCGAAATTGGGTTTAAAATTGTACTCAGTTGGATGACCAAGAAGCAGTTTATACTCATATACTCTTTGGAGTGAAATAGAGAAGCAGTTTATACTCTTATACTTTTCAGAGTTACATGAAGAAGCAGTTTATACTCGTATACTCTTTGGAGTGAGGGAAAACAGTTTATACTCGTGTACCCAATGGAGTATTATGGTCGTCTTTACTCGACTTCTTTCGTCGTTATGACGCCGGAATCAATTAGGGCTTGGATCTTGTTTTTGAGTCCAAAGCAAATCTCGGTGGGATGAAGAACCCTCCTGTGGTATGCACAATAGTTCGGGTCCGTAATCATCTTAGCACCTTCTTGATTTTTAATAGGCGGCAATTCGATCTTGTCGTTATCGAGAAGGTATCTCAAGATGGCTGGAGCTTCGTTATCTTCGAAAGAATACTCCTTTTGAAACCTCGGATCGAGAGTCGCATTCCCAGCAGTTGCAGATGTCGTCGGTTGGCCTCTCTCAGCTTTCTTTCTTTTAAGAAAGTGTTCAGCTTGTTCACCCCGAGACTTTAACTCTTTCCAAGTTGTGAATGGCACAACCCCCAGAGCTTCTAGGACATCGATGAAAAAATTATTGTGGCATGTCTGCAGGATGAACTCCTCTGTGACAGAGTCTCTGCAATTCATTGCCTTGTTACGGAAGCGCTTGATAAAATCGTCGATCGATTCTCCGTCATTTTGCTTCTCATCTAGAAGTGTTCCGATTGACACTTCGGTGTCATCATCGAAGAAATTGCTGAGGAACAAACTTTCCATGTCATCCCAGCATTTGATACTCCCTGGTTTGAGACGTCGGTACCAATCGAAGGCGAGCCCACGAAGGGTGCCAACGAATGACCGGACCATCAAAGCCTCGTTTTCAGATATCATGTCCAAATGAGACTTGAAATAAATCAAGTGCTGAATCGGCGAACTCTTAAGTTAATCAGCTGGAATTTTGTCGGGTATGGAATTAAATCCCATTCTCTTGGATAGGGACATGGAATACTCGTCTTCTTCACTTCCTGAGCTGTCATCAAAGCGTTGACCTTGTTTTCAAGCTCTTTCATTTTCTCGTGATCGCCTATGTCTTTATCCAAAGGACGTTGAGGAAAATGAGTTGGACCACCCCCTGTAAAAGGTGTCATTGAACCACCCCTAATGTCGTTATTGGGAGGATCTATAGAACCACCCCCTGTGTTATTGTCATCGGGAGGTGTATCAGCCATGATGACTTCCTCCACTTCTGGATCACTATCGTCCACAACATTTTGAGCGCGGCGGCTGGATTTAGCTCGTTGGTTGGACTCAGGAAGTTGAGGCCGTTGAATTAGTAGTTCTCTCATTTGTTGAATAGCCAACTCCATTTCAGCTCTAATTTCTTCACGTTGTTTGGCTAGAGCTTCTTGAAGTATTTGAGTGAACTGATCAGCAGTGATTGTGAGCACTTCTCTAATTTGTCCTGTGCTGGATACTGTATCATCCGAAGCGATCGCAGAACAAGTGTCTGAAAATTCATCCTCTGATAGTATTCCTTCACGCATTCTCGTGACTATTCTTCCCAAGGAAAAGTCAAGATTTAATTCATTTGAACGTCGCTTAGATTTTCCTTTATCAGTCATGTAGATGGTGACTTTAGGGAATTCGTCATCTTGGACATCTGATCTTCTCTTGTGGAAATGTCTCAGTTTAGACTTCGACATTTTGGTGAAAAGTTTCGGGAATACTGAGGTTCTTTGCGGGATGACGCCGCGTTTGAAACAGTCGCACTCTGATAGTGCACAGGAACAACAAGAATTTATTTCTCGAATAATTCTCTTTCGAGTTTTGTTCATACCTCCAGCTTGATAGTATGATTCATCGGTATGATTGCCGGAAAATCCTATCGTATGTTGGTATGAACCCCCAGGTATAACTATGTCTTTTAGTAAACATGTTTTCTTCTGAGAATATAGGACCTTGTTGGCAATCTCAGGACAAATTATTATTGTCTTTGAGCGATCCAAGGTTATGTCGGGAATCATACGTTTAGAACCATCCCCTTGCGGGTATGGAATCTTAACGGGCTCCGAATGCTGATTTTGTACAACTTCAGACTTTGGAATCCATATTTTGTAGAATTTTGGTGGTTCTTTAGCCACCGTTTCCTTATTCATTCGTCTTTGTTGTAAAAGAGCGCGAGCATGAGCAGCCTTCACACAACGTTTTTGTATACGTTCTTTTAGGGTCGAACGAACCCTTTTGACAAGAATCCATTCCTCCGTCGTGGGTTGTGCCGAAACGTGAGCGGGTTGTCGTTGAGTTGGACGAGCCACTTGTTGTTTCCTCGACTCTAAGTCCGCATAATAACGAACTCCATCGGTTTGTTCCAAGACCTTAACCATTTGACGAGCGAGGCGTTGGCGTTGCCTCTGACGAGCCCTTTTCGTCAGAATTGGCGAACTTTGACCGAACAACTCTTTATTTATGAAGGAATCGTCATGAGCAGAGCTTCCGGCTTTGTAGGTCCCCGGGATAATGTTGCGAGGGGAGGCCTCGGCAACGATTGGACGAGAGTCTTCACTTTTATCATTCTTTGGCATATAAGCCTTCTTCAATTGTGAGATCCTTTTGTACTCGTGAGATAAAGAAGATCTTGAAGAGGATGACAAAAGATAGTCTTCAAATTTGGCTTGGTCGAACTCGTACTCGACCGTTGATTCAACCGGGATCTTGATCGGCTGCGACACGACGGTCTCGGCGCGAGACCGTTGGCTCCCACTGTGGTCGCCAGTTTGTTTTCGCCAAAAGTCGCTGTTGTGGAATTCATTATAACTTTGTTCGATTACAACAAATTCAGAAAAATAGCCTTTTTATAAGACCTCTTTTACACAACAAAAGAAAAATTACAACTCTTGAGAAACAAACGCAGGATCGTTGTTTGGATCACTGCTTACGTGGGATCTTTGCCTGTGCCGGGGGTGCGTTAACCCGTGGACCACCAAATCACATATTCTGATTGAATCGTAAGGGGTTTATGATTCTAACTTCGTTTATCGAAGTGAGAACTTGAAACGATATCTTATCAAGGTAAGATAGTCGTTCTTCTTGAAATCAAGTAAAAGCCTGAATATCAAAGGATTGCCGGAAGCTCAAGAACTCTGCTCTGTCTGCTCTGAAGTGCTCCAAATGATCAGCCCTTGGATTCCCCCTCTAAAAAAATGATCTTCGGGGGGCATTTATAGCCCCGATGAATAGTTGGCAGAAAACCAACTCGCGAGACAGCATTTGCTGTCTCGGCTGGGGGGAGAGTGTTTACTGTCTCGACGGGCGAGACAGTATTTGCTGTCTCGACCCGCGAGACAGTAAATGCTGTCTCGGAAACAGTAACCGTCAGGCAGTTTTCGTTTTAACTGCCTTCCCACGTTTCAAACTCTCGCGTGGGCGAGACAGTAAAAGTCTGTCTCGCCCGCGAGACAGTAAAGACTGTCTCGCATGGCGAGACAGTCAAGTCTGTCTCGCGTGCGGGACAGAAAAGACTGTATACTTGTGTTCTTTTTTGACATTTTAGATGACTTCCTTTTGAGCTGTGTTTGGATACCTTTCAGCATTTTTCAACGCCTACAAACCTGTCAATTGTTAGGTACAGTAACATAATCCAATAATGTAATGAATGCTCCATGTGCAGGGTGGATATTAGAATATGATACAAACTGGGTAAGATCCCAACCATATCTATCGGGAGGATGTCCCGCATTGCTACGAGTAGTCATCCGTACTGACATTGGTGTGGGAGGAATAAGGAGAGGAATGATATCATCTTGAGAGGAATCTGATGGTAGTGTAGGTGTCTCAGGAGTCGGGACAGACGTTGATAAGGGACTTGGCACTAGTGGCACTGTAGGTACTGTTTCTATAATTTGCTTCCCCTTCCTACTATAGGTAAGTAGCTCCCCCTGAGTCGTGGGCCTAACACCTCTTGTCTCCTTATCCTTTTCTTCTTTATTCTCCTGCTCCTCCTCAACCAATTCTCCTTCCTAAGGAATCGTTAGGAAAATCGATTTCTCCGTATTATTCTCCACATTAGTCATCTGCCTTTCACCATTCTCCCCTTCTCGCCTCATACTTCCAGTATTGGGCGACTCACCAACGGATGAGGGTACCTTCTGTGTGTAATATGGCTCAAATTCATAAAAGTACACATCCATGCTCACGAACAGCCTTTTCTCCACCGGGCTCCAACAAACATATCCCTTTTGAGTAGCAGAATATCCCACAAAAATTACACTTCACCGCTCTAGGGGCAAGTTTCCCGACTGCTGGTCTTTTATCCTTCACGAAGCACACACGGCCAAATACTTTCAGTGAAAGAATCCCACCATTATCTTCTTTTAATGTCTCACGGAGACTTCCAATCCAGTACTCTCGAGGGCATTCTGTTGATCAGCGCCGCTGTAGTCAATACTGCTTGCCCCCACAATGTTTCTGGGACATTCATGGAGATCATCATACTTCTAGCAACCTCTAAAAGATGCCTGTTGTGCCTTTCCGCTACCCCATTCTGAGCTGGCGTGTATGGACATGTAGTCTGGTGTTGTATTCCCTGAGATGATAAGTATTCTCCAAACACCCTGTTTGTGTACTCTGTCCCATTATCAGATCTCAATACCTTCACCACTGCTCCATATTGAGTCTGAACATACCTATAAAAGTTTTAAAAGCAGCCAAATACTTCACTCTTATTCTTCATCAGGTATAACCAAATAACACGAGAGAAGCAATCAATGAAGGTAACAAAATACTTGTATCCATTCATAGAATTTGTGGAACACGACCCCCACACATCTGAATGTATCATATCAAATGCATGAGAACTCCTATGATCAGAACTAACATAAGAGCTTCTAGTAAGCTTTCCCAACTTACATGCGCATCACACACAAGTTTCTCTTTATTTACTTTCTCAAATAAAGATGGATACAACCTACTTAAAACACCGAAAGAAGTATGTCCCAAGTGTTTGTGATGAAGCATCAACACACTCTCAGCACTCATCTCAGATCTTACTCCTGCTCTCTCTACCATTGACACCAAAGCTGAATCTAGCCCTTCACGATCCAGATACCACAGTCCATTACGCCATGTGTCAGTCCCAAGTCTCCGTCCTGTCCCCTTCTCCTGAAAGATCACCTTGAAAATATCAAAAGAAATAATGCATTTTAGTTGGAGGATGATAGAACTAATGGATAAAAGATTGACTGGAAAGGAAGGAGCATGCAAAACATTGGACAAAGTTATAGAACCAGTACAATCGACTATACCATTACCAACCACCGGCTGAAATGTATCATCAGCTGTTTGAATACTATCAGGCGATGCTAAGTGAGTATATGATGTGAACTCACTAGCATTATCTGTCACATGGAGAGACGCACCGAAGTCGACTATCCACTCTGATGATCTGTCGGGAGACATAGAAGCAAGAGCATGTATGTCATCAGTACCTTTGGTCGGATGAGCATAGGTAACAGTGTTGCCTCTGGCAAAAAACGAAGTGGATGCCTCCTCAGTCCCACTCCTCAAGTCTCCATCCACTGCTACTTGCTGTTTTTTTCTGAGTATCGTCAGGAGAGCACGATCCTCCTCAGTAAAGACCACCTCAGCTTCTTCTTCCTCTGCTATCACGACCACGACCTCCGAACTATCCACGTCCACCCGAATCTCCTTCCTTGGGTGGCTTGGTGCAAGCATGTCTTAGATGACCCACCGTACCGCAGTTGTAGCATTATCGAGTCTCTCCCCTAGATCCAGTGTTGCTAGAGGCTGCCAGTGCTGACTTCACCACAGGAAGTCCACATGTCCCCACCTGCAGCCGAATGCGAGTCTCCTCCTGGATCATAGCAGAGACAGCCTCCTCAAGCGTGGGAATCTTTGGCTGAGCTAGCAGCAATGCGATTCGCTGAGCGAACTCTGATGTCAATCCCTTGAGAAACACCATAGTCCTATCCTGTAAAAAGGCCTCCCGCTCTTTACATCTCGGGTCCTTGCAGCTAGCCCCGGGAAAAAAATGATCATAATCCAGCCACAGACGCTCCAACTCTGTAGCATATTCCTGTACAGTCCTCTCTCACTGGACTGTGGCGTCGATCTCTCCTTTAATCTGGAATACCCTCAGGTTATTCCCCACTCCATCATATGTCCTCATCAACTTCTCCCAGACGTCCTTCACCTTCTCAATGTCATCCACCGTGACGGCGATCGTCGGGATCAACGAGTTGAGAAGCCAGATGTACACCAACATATAAGTGGACTTCCACTCATCTCTTCCCTCTGAGTTCTCCTCCGGCTCTGTCACCTCTCCTGACAGATAACCCTCCAGATTCCTCCCTGCAAGGGTATATCTCACCCGTCGTGACCAGCTCAGGTACGTACTAGGGTCATCCAGCTTCAGATCGATGGTCGGAAGCTCCAACTTCTTCGATGGTTTTGCCGCGCTCTCACCAGCCGACAACTTCATTAGCTTCATCAAAGTTGACACCTCCGTAGGGTTCAACTTCTTGATGATCTCCATCGAACAGACTTCAGACCTAACACCTGGTCACCTACTCTTCCAACTCTTGTTGTGTACAGTGAAAATTTCGGCAACACCTCTACTGCACAACAAGAGTAGGATCGCAAACAAATTCTCGTTTCTCAGAGGAAACAAGAATCAAAAACAGTTATATATCTCATCGATGTGAGATATATACTCTTCATGTCATCAGTTCGAGGACTGAGTCGAGGGAATCCATGTCAAACTCTAGGTTCGACACAGGATCGCAAACAAATTCTCGTTTCTCAGAGGAAACAAGAATCAAAAACAGTTATATATCTCATCGATGTGAGATATATACTCTTCATGTCATCAGTTCGAGGACTGAGTCGAGGGAATCCATGACAAACTCTAGGTTCGACACGGTGCGGCAGGGGGTACGAGGTGGCAGCGGCTAGAGGGGGGGTTTGGAGGGGTTCGGGTGTGGTGAGGGGTTCGGGTGTGGTATGGTTCGGTGGGATTAGGGTTCAAAGGGGTTCAATGGGCAGCGGGTTCGGGTGTTTGGCAGCGGGTTCGGGTGGTTGGCAGCGGTGTTTTT